ATGGTAAAGTAAAACCAATGCGATCCCGAATGACGTCCGAAACTCATCTGAAAAATGCTTCTTAGATAACCAATGAAACAATCAAGACTAGCATTAGATTTAGTAGCTGCTGTTTATTGATTAACTGTTTGGCTTAATTGGAAAACAATTAAGCAAGAATGGATAGATAGATGGATAGATGGGTAGATTGATTAATTGATTGACTGGTTGACTGTTAAATGTCCAGTTGACAGAGTGAAAAACAAATAAATGATGATATTAATTCGTGGGGTGATAAAGCAATTTATTTATCATCATCACATTCTAACATTCAAATTGTAACATAGACAGCATGAATCAAAGGAATCTTGAGCTTTTTTCAACGTTACCTAGCCATTCCATATTTCTTTACATTCCCTCGCTACAAATCAAGAGGTTGATTTATGCGTTATTTACCTTTGCAGAGTGCTTGTTAATTTGCTCTCGTCTGTGAGTCAAATAATTTTGAGGGTAGGTATTATTACCATCTCTAACTCCATGGTTATTTTGAAAGCTTTTCCAATAATTAGATCATTCTTTTATCAATAGTTACTATTACATGCGTCGACATTTGCTTATTTTTTCTTCAGCTTCAAACGCTTCTTCAAGGACCAATTTCTCCCGAAGACTTTGCAAACTTTCGAAGTAAGTGAATTTAAGAACACAACGATTAAAATTAAATTTGTTAATGATAAAATAAAACGGAGATTAACATTAGCAATTAATTTAGGAAGTACAAGGCTTTGAAGAGATTATCTCAAATCTCTATCTTGATAAGAATAAATCCATGCTTCAAATCGACGCCAGAAAAAAAATACCTTAGGAAATATAAAAACAGGGAAATTAAAAAGATATGATTCGTAGAAGGCCTTCCGATTAAGTGTGGTAAAATCAAAGTAATTGGAAAGGTCAGTCACAGCAAAGGAGAACATCTCTGGAAGCCAACAAAAACTAAGTTACTGAAATGTGAGAAAACGTTAGAGACCCAGTTGCGACTGGTTCTAGTTTCGCAATTGATTGGTTGAAATTAGGGCATTAGGTTTCTAGACCATCAGTTGCGAGGTGAAGCGAACCTGACGCAATACGCGCAACTGCAAATTGTCCTCTGAAAAAAGAAAAAAGAAAACAGACTACAGTGACAAATACATATTTAATTTCTTCTTTTTTTCCTTTTTCAGACGAAACGATAGACATTTTGAAGCAAATTGAGAACTCATTAGCCGGCCCAACAACATCCCCGGCTAATAACAGGCAGATGGCCAAGCGAGACATACGGGAATTTCCAGATACACGAGAACTGCTGGAACTACTGAACACAATTCACCAAAAATTGTTGGCTTGAAGTTGCATCTCTCTGAATAACTTTGCAAGCCTTAAGAAAGCTGGTTTTCTATCGACTATGAGACGATGGAACACTCATTTTGAAGTCACTCATAGTGGAACTTTTTATCGAACAGTGGAAGATTCACTGTGTTCTTTTGACTCATTTAATGAACCATTGTAAGTTTTCATGTGTCGACTCTTAACTTGTTGATTTTCCTTAATAAATTGGCGGAAACCGAGTTCCAGTTTAACTGAGAACTTTCCTGAATGTAACATATATAGTGCTCAGTTTATTCGGTTGAGCCGAAGCTTTTTCATATGGAACCAAGAAAAAAATATAATTGTAAAAGCCATATTGAGAATGATTATATTGATGAAGTGCAGTTGGGATAATAGGCTCATCATGGAACCAAGAAAAAAGGCGATGTATAATTTGAAAAAAATAAAACTACAAACAGAATAAGACTGATAAAAAGAGGGGGCATTTTGAAATTGTTATGTAATGAGGTTTTGTTTCGTCATTGAGTTGATATGCGCATATGCAACTAGAAGGTAGAAATAAACGAAGTTGTGTTTCGCTTTTCGTGCAATTGTCATTATTACTCGGATACAACAGAAATGACAAGAATTGAAAAGTGAAAAGGAATACTTGATTGAAAGAGAGTTGAAAGATGTCATGAATGTTTGAGGGTTTTTTAAGAGCCTTCTCGATCAAACTCAGTGATGCATAATTTGTAAAATAATCCTATTTAGCGCAAATTATTTTAAGTTTTTGAGGCGCGATAGAACATAGAGAGTTGGGCCAAAAACGTTCCGGACAAGTTAATGTAGAAAGCAAGTATGAGGAGAGCCGTGCGGGATACAGTCCGCTCGAAAAAAGGCAGAATAAAAGAAAATGACGCCTTAAAGACATGCTAGTGGTGCCTCAATTCTTAATTCGTCAGCTACGTGCCGTCGTTCGGAAACGAAGTGCACGTTTGTTAAAATGATATAAACCATCATTTAATAATCACAAGTGAACACAAATATTTCATAATCGTGTTATCCGATGAATGATATCAGCTGGAACAATTCACGGAAATAGATTAAGTATATTAGGAACTGTTATCGCGGTTTCAGTAAAGGAACAGAGTTCCACACTTTCATTTTTTATACTTGCTACATAACTTTAATTTTGAATCAAGAACAATAATTCGGTACCTGCAGCATCAAATTTTTCGAATCCGAATTTCCATGAAGTGCCCTTCGCATTTGATTTATGTTGAATTTTGGATAAGATATTTTGTTTTAACAAAACTATATATTATAGCCCTTAAATTAGTCTTTTGACTTGTACCGTTAAACTCGGAAATGATTCACGAGTGCTACTGGCTTTCAAGCACCATTTTAAAAAGGCTTTGGCTACAACTTTTCACTGAAGTATGTTTTCTTCCTCGGAGTTTAAAGATGTAGTTATCTTCTGAAATGTCTAGATTCAAATTAATGTTTTATCCCATTGTGACAGGGAAAATAATAGAATATTAACATCACTGCTTCATCGAATACAATCATTTACAATCTCCATGATCAATTACGCTTAACTCTACGTGCTAACCATGCAATTTTCCGGGATAAAAAAGTCAGTCTGCTGCCTCGTACTTCATTTTGCGTGTCTCCTTTTTCATCTGATATTGTTAAACAACTTTTTCCTCCACAAATATAACACGAGGAGTAAATTGTACCGCAAGCTTCTAATATTTTCGTTTAATCCCTAACAGTTAACCAAAGGTATTCCTATTTCCATTAAACATCCGTCCGGTTTTGGCTGCAGATGCGCAGTTAAACTATTACAGTGGCAATCACGCGTAGTTAACAATTATTCACCGAAGTGAAGTTCGATATACGCCAATTGTATAGACACTAGAGCGAGAAAATGTTTGAGTAAATACCACGCAGGACCAAAAATCAATTTATTTTTGTCAATATACCGAAAATGATCAGAAGTTAAATTCTTCACGCGTAATTTCGTCTCTTCGGTTGCTCAGGGTTATAGTACTTGCCAATCACTTCCAAATTACGCAGGCGCGTGGGAAAAGCACAATGTACCTGTGTGGTGTATACTCATATGAGTAAATATCAGTACTGAAGTCGATAAAAAATAACGTCTGTTGAGTCATAAAGTTCTGACAATAAATGTGGCAAAACGTATGCAACTAACTTTTCTTGTCTTTACGCACATGAATTTGAGTGAAGAAAAAACTGTAGAAATTAACATCGGGAGAAATGTTAATAATTGGACCATTCAGCGACAATGATTGAGGACTGACAGAAGCCTTAAGGATGCGTTTGGGAACTAATTAGAATTGAGTTGCGACCATTTTAGCTCAATAGCTCGATTTTGTACAATTTTTATTTCAGGGAGAGCTTTCTTTAGCAAAGCTCTTCACTATAAAATCGGTTTTACTTACTTCAGCTACTCAGTAAAGGAGAATTTCCTCAACACGTCGAAATGAATCCAAATTGCCACGTACAACTTTAGGAGATTCTTCTTAAGCCTTTCCTCCGGTTTTACATCTGTCTCGTAAGGAATATTCCGTTTATTGGGATATTTTATTGTGACTTGTGTTACAGTTCTCAGAGCAACGATGAAAAAGAGAAAAAAGTTTAAAGCATTCACGACTGCAGTGAATTTTCTACACTTAAACGAGTCATTTGCCCAACTTTTTTTCATTAGCCATTTTAATCCCAAAAAATTAGTATGTATACTCTCCAAACTGATCTCTCTACATTTCTTCCGGTGCTGAGAAGGAGAATTTGTCTTTCAATCAGGAGCTTCTTAAATTGGTGATCATTTTTATTCTTTTTCATGACTTTTACATTTGATTTAAGTGTGGAGCTGTAGAAAGAAATTAGAAATTTGTCACTCTTAGGAGTTAAAGGATTAAGGAAAGGCAGAAGTCCCAACAAAGAAGGATTGCTCAGCAGCTCTGTCCCCTTGGAAGTACAATTACCCAAAGCATCGTGTGATGCACAAAACCTTCCACAGTGACGAGGAAATCTATCATTATGTTCCTTTGATCAATATTTGCGATAGTCTCTTACAGCGACACTGGACGAATGTAATCTTTCGATTTACACCTAAATTTGATTGCACTGCTTTGTTGGGATTAAAGTACTGAAATCTCAATATAAAAAATTAAGCAATTAATCAGCCAAAAGGGTCTCAGAAGAATGCAGTGTCATTTCCGCTACATTATTGCATTATATTAGGTATACATCAGATCTTTCCACAAATTTCTCGTGAGAATTTCTCTTTTCAGTCATGGCAGAACCACGCTGTAGAATAATTTTTTTGCCTGAATTTTTTGCCTGAACTTCAACATGGCTTGTTATTTACTTCGTGCGGCACCATGAATAATTTTTGTTACCTTTTTTTCAAGAGCTTGGATAACATTTGTCAAGTTCAACCGAATCCGCCCAATATTAACTTCCTCGTTCAAGTTTACCTACGGTTGCCACGATTTAATGGCCGCGTACCACGTCATGCCTGTAACATGTCTATATAAAGAGATCCCTGGAGTGTAAAGGGCTGTAACTAACTTCTGTGACAAACCATTTTGTTCAACTACCTTGTTGCAAATAATCTGACGGTGTTGCTACTTTGAAGACTAAGAAAAACGATGAAATTCGTTGCCATTATCTTCGTGCTGGCTTTGTTTGTTGGAGGCAACGAGGCTTGGTTAAGGCGAAGAAGAAGGCGCACTCCTACCCCTTGCAGACCTCGTAATTGTCAACTCAGCGCCTGGTCGCAGTGGAGTTCGTGTCCGTGCGGAGCAAGTGGAACTCGAAATAGAACAAGAAGAATCATATGGCCAGCAACTTGTGGAGGTACATGCTTTTTCCATCGATCAGAAATGCAATTTTGCAAGAGAGACTGTCAGAATTCGGGAATACCTACGAGAAACGGTTGCCTCTGCCCGCATGGTTTTCTGGGAGCGTGCTGCGAAATTGGTAAGTTGAATTTAAAAAAAAATTGTAAATTATTTACCCAAGGAGGATCTAATTCTTGAACATTGTGATATTCTGCACGAAAGCAGTTGTTAAATATTGTTAACGGTCGAGGTTGAATTGACTGGAGTCTCCAAAACTTGAGTGGGAGTTAACTCTAATGATGACTTCCGCATAGGTTGTTAACACATCTGTCCCTTCCATAGAAAACAATCATCTGGACAGTCGGACCACACAATCAATTTAAATCACTCTAAGCTAACAAAAATTGAGCAAAACCACCGCCACTCTTCATCGTATGAGACACAAATAGGAGATTTTTCAAGATTATATGGTGCTTTTAAAATGCAAATGTTAGCGTACATAAATCAACCCTTCGGTCTTTCGCGCAAAAACTTGGAGGGAAATTGCTTCTAACAACACATCGTGGCTATTGATACCCTAAAAACTATTCCCAATTTCATCACTTTCACAATTTTTTTTCATTTACCACGCTTGGCCAGGCGGCATAAAAGAATTTTGCAATACTGACCCAATTTTCCCCTCATGAATTATCAGTGTATTCTTAAATTGGGCAACACGCAATATTGTTTACTTAAAATTGCAAAAAAAAGGTTCAGGTTTGACGCTTGCCTGTATACCTAATGTCAAAAATTAAAGACGAACAAAATAATTTATAGCCTCATTGTGAGACAGAAAATGTCGTACACCTGGGTAACAAAGACCCTGGATACCTAAATACTCAAAGCCGCCGCCCGGGCCTAAAGTACGTCATCAAAAAGTCATGCCGGATTATTTCAATTAACTTAATTCGTGGCATATGATTTCTTTATTTTTTAATTTTATTATTTTACGGTAAATCTACGTCAGTGTGCATATGTCAATTCACTAATTTGCTAAAATTTATCAACTGCAGTGTGGTTAAACAATTGTGTTCCAGTTCTTGGCCGGTACTAGCTCTTACGATACTGACTCTTAACTACTGTTTCTGCAATTACAAGATACTGTCTGTATGACTTTCAAACTTTTCTGTACGAATTTTCGCACACGTATACATTTATTGATTGGGCTCCCACGATTTATAGAAACTGCTCATAGATTAAGGCACTTCGAATCTTTCATTATGTAGCTGTCAAACTTTTTAAATGTAATCGTTGACGACATTAACAGTTTGCTATGTCTTAGTAACAGAAGTACGTCATCGGATTGGGAAAATGTTAGCTGCTACAGGAAAGGTTTCACAATATAGTTAACAATCAAATGACGCGAGTACTGTAATAAAATTATTTTGCACTTGACAAGGCATTAACAATATAAAATGATTTTGATGAATTAAAGACTTCTCAATCGTCATCAAAATGGAATACATTTGTTTCACGTGTAAGGTAATCAAAATATATTTCGGCATCTTTACCTCACTAAACACCTCAATTTATTCAAAAAAACACTACACAAAGCGAAAAAGTGATTTAATTGTGAATAAATATTAAGCGTTTTACTGTAGCTCTGTTCTCAGTAGCTGAGAATAATCAAAACAGTTTTTTTGTTGTCTCGGAGCTTAACTGTTTGGCGGTAAACCCATCGACCCTTTCACTTTTAGTAGGGCTGATTAATTCATTTTTGCCAACCATTTCAATAACTTGTCCAACAAACAAGTAATAGAATTCACAAACTTATCATCTATGAGGGATTATTTTGATAAAACATCGAGGAAATGCCGTTATTAAGCAGGTACCAGAAGATTAGCAATTGGGTATTAAGTCGAGGGATTTATGTCCTTAGCTTTGCACTGAGGAAAGAAATGAATATGTGATTTCTGTTGCACTTTCCAGACTCAAATTAGTTATTTAACCCTCCTGATGACGAGAGAGATATTGTCAGTGGAAGGAGAGACTGTTTAGAGATTGGGCATGGGTCAAATGGCATTATGTAAACAGATTTGACGATGGAAATCTGATTTCGTCGGTTCATTTTGCAATGCTAACAATGCTAACATCTTAACCTCGTCACTTTATTCAGCAGTACCTTTAACAACAAGAGGAGATCTAGAATTGCCGACAACAACTGCCAGAAGTCAAACGCCAACACCAAGAACATCAGCAACAAAACCAAGATCAAGATTAACGCCACTAGAAACATCAGCAACAGCAGCACCAACAACAACAAAAAGATCCTCATCAACAACAACAAAAGTGGAACAAATACACCCATCATCGACAATTCCAACAGTATCAACAGAACAGCCACAGTCAAACGCAACATCGAGGATAACCCCAGCAACACCATCAACAAGCGCCACAGCTTCATCGTCAGCGATACCATCCGCAAAGCTTCCACCGGAGCATTTCCCAAACTTTCTTTCTTTTAACAATGGAAACTATAATGTATCCTGGATTTACAACAGTGAGACAGACAGATTACACTTTATGATCGATGTCATGGCAACCGGTTGGGTTGGGTTTGGTGTTGCCCGTCGTGCTCCGACGGGCATGCAGGGATATGATGTGGCGGTTGGTGGAGTTTTAAATGGATTGGCTTATTTGCAGGTAAAACGAAATTCTTAAATTTGAACTCAAGTCCTTCCTCTGCTGAGCAATTTTTTTTGTTTGTTTTTATAATTCCCAAGCCGAACAAAAAAGTGTAGTTTTTTGATTAAGCTCAGAAGCGAGATATATTTCAACAGAAAGCTATGAAACGACGAAAAATATCGACTGAAATTTCTGATTTCATTATACAATGAACGGCTGAAAAGACAAGGAGAAATGGGTGATGGAATACAACAGAAAATTATATTTAGTGATGATATTTCCAAGAAAATCAAAAATTTAAAATTGAGATCACCTCACAAAACTGCATGATAATCACGATTTTAACACTTTAACTCCCAAGATTTCTTTAATAATTCTCCTTACTGTCTGCCATACAATTCTTATGATGTCAATTTGGAGAATTTGGTATCGGATCAACCAATAATCCTTAACTGATATTTTACTTTATTCTCATCACTTCTATGCTTGATGTTGTGTTGATTATTGTAAGGAGAAATTCTCTCTTAGTCACTCATGGGAGGAAAAAGGTTAACCTCTACACAATAACATCACTACGGATGTTCTCCATGATGTTCTTTACGCATTTCCTAAGGTACTGACACAGAGAACTTGTTGAACAAAAAAGAACTTCTTACGTTTGATTTAGGAGTGATATTGTTAGAAGAAATTAGATGCCAGTCACTCTTAGAGGTTTATAATGGGGTAAACGACTTTTTCATCCCATATACTGATATTACCAAAATGATACTTATTTGACTAACTTATATACAAGTAAATATAATCGTGTTTTACTTTGGTTGAAAAAGGATTATCTCACAGTTGGCCTAGCACAACCTCAAGTTGACGGTCAGCAAGACTGGGCATTAACTTACGCCAAAGAAGAAAATGGAAAAACAACATTGCAGTTGTATCGCAGGAGAGACACTAGAGATCCAATAGGTGACGTCCGCATACAGGTAAAATAATGAGCTTGTCACCTGTATATATTAAACAATTATTAGATTCGCTTTTTGTGATGTCCAGAATTATCAAGGTCGAGGTAGGGGTTATCAGCTCAGCCTTCAGCTTCAGCCCATAACCCCTAGTGAGAATACAAAAATTGTTTTATCATGTATTGAACGAAAACAAATGGCCACGACAGTAAATGGAACTGACAATTTATTTCTAAACGTGTAAAAATATATGCGAATCAGCAAGCAACACAAAGCGCGCGAACTTGACATGATTACCCTTAGAAATCATGCACCCCGGTCACACATGACATGATTACCCTTGACCTTGAGTGTCTGCGGTTAGATGACGTCCTTGGCGCTGAACTCGAAAATTCACTGTATGCTTTCGGCTAATCAGAAAAGAGATAGTGATTTGAATCTATAGTAACTAAAGTAAACAAGCGTTCTATGCGTAGATGTGTATGAATTTATACAATGTCAAGTGTGAATGTACCTGTGTATTGTAATTAGCTAATCAAGGTTAAGGGAACCTCAACTCGTGAAAGAGCTTTTCCCTTTGGACTCGGAAATCATACGCATTGCTTTAATCTTGTTAGGATTTCGCCCAAAACAAAAATTTACTGAAAAAAATGGAGCTATAATTTTTTTTAAAAAAATGTTTAAGACCAGAAATCCTTCCATGAGAAAAATACGTCATCACCTGACATCACAATACTTAACAATTGGTTCAAGGCTCGGCTACGCCTCGAGCAACTCTTACGCATCTTTCGTGCTCTCCAAACTTCCCGCGTGCCTCATATCTCGATGAACGCACAGCTGACGTATGAACTAATTGTTTTATAACATTTTCAACCCGATGGAAAATTTTTTTCTCGAGGGATTTGTTTAATGACGTCATGAGCGTGCACAATGGGAATATGAAGCACGCTCACGCAATTGAATTTGATTAGACAAAGTTACTAGCTATGTTATAAAGCAGATCGAATGATGGAAAATACATCTAGTTTCACTTGTATGTAATAATTTGATCCTCTGCAGCAAGGAGCACCGATTTTCCTTATATGGGCATACCATATGACGAATGACGCCCAGTCAGGCCTATTGACGTTCCACGGTGGCAGATCCAGAGGTTTCAGAAACGTTCTTCTAATACCTGTCATTACACCCACAGTGACAAGTCCATCTGGTAAGTAACTGCCACCGTTGTATGAGCTGAGAGAGCTGTATGATAGCGATATGAAAGAACGGAATGGTACAACAAGGTTACCATGCCCACTGATAATCAGCTTTCAACGTCGCTAGAGATGATCGCACTTAATATCACAGCCTAAAAGTGTGCTTTTCTTTATCTTGAGGTTTTCCATCCGCGACACTCCAGCCATCACCATCTCCAGCTTTTGGTGGCATGAATGCGACATCGTCTACAAAGCCACCCTTTACAGGTACGCAAACGTTCTCGAACTGGCTAAAATTATGGTACCTATTTACTTTTCTGATATAATTCAGTCCAATACATCAAACGCACTCAAGGATCAATCTCAGCCGCGCTGAAGCGCCAGGAGGCGAGTTCGTTCACTTAAACCAGCACTACTCCGCAATCCTTCCCTTCCTAATGTTGCATAAATCGAACAACTCTAGAAGCTGTTAAAATGAGTCCAGTGCTGACACAAAAAAAATTCTCAGCTTTACCCATTAAGTAGCTACACATTTGGCTATCCTTGCAGATTGATGAAGGGAATTTCGTGTTATATCGAGATAAAAGCCCCTTCAATTAAAAATTTTCCCTTTCTTATCATTTGTTGGCTAACAGCGTACCGACCTTTAAAGATAAAGCTACTGGTTAACCACTTTGGGCTCCTTCTTGGTGTAGAGGACGCAAGAAAAGTGGAATAGAACACCGCCCCACTAATTGTTTTCATTGTTTACCTCGTTCAAAGGCTGGCATGTTCGACGTTCCTTTCATGATTTTTTTTTTCTGGCAGGATGTGGAGGAATATTAAACATGACAAGTGGAACATTTGCAACTCCTGGATATCCATTTTCCTACACTAACAATTTGAACTGCCTATGGACTCTTCCTATCCCTACCGACGGCGTTTTGAGTCTACAGTTTGAAAGATTTACCACAGAGCGGTGGTACGTACATGAAGGAAACATGAGTATAATTGTACCAGAAGAGCAACTTAAAGTTTGTTAAAAGTAAGGTCGGATTGCTTTGGTCTTGCTATGATACGCTCAAGAAATCTTGCACGAACCTCTTAACCAACTAGACACCCAGCTATAATGAATTTCGACTTGATCATTTGCATCCTTGGAAAGTGTATTTGTCAGGAAAAAAACTCACTCGTTTTATCCCCAGAAGTTACTGAAGATACTTGAAAATGAGTACTTGTTGGTCATGGTTAGAATTTGCAAAAAATCTTTTAGTACTTCCTTGACAAGTGTCATTGTCATTTAACAGACATTAAATTTTTTGGCTCCATTTGCAATGGCACTTGTCTATCTAAGGCATTGCAAGATAAATACGGGAAAAAATTTTAAATTAAACTCTGGTGTTGTAAATGCGGTCTAATGGTTTCCTTTTCTTTCTTTTCTACGGAAGCTGTGATTTTGTTGAGCTGACAGTCCGCACCGGGCAGTTAGCAAGATTGAGTGGTTCTAGGAACGGATTCAACATCACAGTAAGAGGCGACAGAAGTCGGGTACTCAGTATCAGATTAACAACTGATGGATCGGTCACAGGACTTGGTTTCTTGGCTCGCTACGTCATAATATTCGGTGAGCAAACCATAAATTCTTGGAGCAATTACACCATAACTATATATATATAAAGCCTTTTGTGCGTGTACGTGTTGATCCCCTAATAGTTCACTCGTATCAAGAAAAGCGGATCACCTGAAATTTAGTATTTCATCTCGAACATTGTCTATCTTTTCGGGATTACACGATTGCAGGATTAGGTAAAACGCAAGCAGTATAAAACAATGACAGTGAATAATAATTTGAAAAGATTGGCAGAAAAAAACTAAGCAATTTTAGAGACAACTGATTGCTTTACGATAGATCACGCTGACTAACGATTCTTATCGCCTTCAGTTGCACAAATCGTCTGATTTCTAGTTTGCAAAACTGATCCTGCATCTATGGTAACTTGAGGTTCCAAGTTGGTCTTTTGTTATTTGTCTTAAATGTGTGGGTAATTCTGCTAGGCCAACTCCTGTCGATGTCCATTCTAGTAACATGATATTTTTTAGATGTAGAACAGAGAACATAAAATTACGTTTTTGATGTAAAACATTCCCATGCAAGTGTCAAGGTTTAGATTGAAGAACTTTTAAACCACCTCCAAAGCTTAGAAAATTAGGTAAATTCTCGAACGATAACAATGACAGTTAAAATTTCGTTTTTCAGTGCCACAGCCTACATCTTTTACTCCTTTTAACAACGTAACCTCGCCAAACACAGTACAACCACCTTCAAATACCACACTTGTGATCTTACCAACGGAAGTTCGAAGGTAAGTTTCCAAATTTCACTACTTCATGTCAAACAACTTGGCTTTTAGTTCGAGTCTGCCTTAAAAAATCGTATTTAAAATAAAGAACTATGCTGCACCTGTTTTATAAAAGTTTCGGTTGACATTAATGTTTGTTTCATACATAGGAAAACACCTATTTAGATTTATCATATAAACAGATATCTTAAGGCTGATACGTTTATTTCGGACCATCATCATGTCAGACCTGGCAAATCAGTAGATCCTTTGAGTGACATTTTACACTAAAGTTTTACACATGATCGTATTCTTGTTAACAGAGCTCTTGTTGATTTACTCGTATCTCTTGGTCGAATTATCGTGAGGGTAAGTAAATGTCTCTTTTCTCATACGAATTTATTTTCGCGCACTGGTACCCCAATCAACTCCCACGATTGTAAATCGAAAAGTACGATCACCCGCAAGCTGACGCTTGCCGACCAATTTCTCACGCCTTACAGATAAAAACTTGTTAAAAAAAGCTTTCGATTTCTGATACCCTCAGTAAACAGCATTCTCTAACCATAAAAGAAAGGTATGGGCAAAAGATCTTAATTTTTCCATAGCGTATGCGAATAGAGTATCTTTGAGGAGATTGTGTCAGAACTCTACGCATCTCCTTCAGAACTCTTCAGAATTCTTCGTTTATTCCCGACGCTTCTGCAAAATATACCATGTTGCACCTCAAGGAAAATAAACCCGTGGCTTTGACTTGAAAAAAAATCCCAGCAGTTAATAATGGAGACTAATTGATCTCTTCAAACTTTGGGACCAGTTTGAGCCTTGTAAAGCTCGTGAGTGAATAAGCTCCAAATAATTATTAATTTGTTCTTCATCAGCTCCAAGGACTTATCCAAGGAGAACTAACTAACGACGCTTTTGGAAATTTCCGAAGTAAGTGAAGTATTTTGAATCAAAATCCAAAAGCCAAGCTCTACGGTAGAAAATAATTCATCTTTATTGGCCATAAGTCCTATCGGTTGTTTTTCAAAACCTCTCCCGACCCAAGTCCTCAAAGTGATGTGTTTACTCGAATCAGACTAATATTCCATTTGAAAAAAATAACGAACACTGCATCGTAGAAGAATATCAGAGCAGTTCATTCTAACATTTGAAAATGTATAACATAGTTCCGAGTTCTAGAGTTAGGGAGAAATGGTAGCAAGAAACATTTTAAAAAAAGAGAAAGGCCAAAAAAAATAGATTTTGATGAAACGAAACAGTTAGTGGATGGTCAGGTTCTCGGTTAGTGGAGAAAAACAAAAATATGGCGAGTGAGAGATAACCTGAGGGTTTTTTCCCTTCTTTTGCTGACTGCCTGGGAAAAGTTAATCAGTGTGTAGCCAAGGGGTGCATCTGAATCAAAGAATCTTCTCGAATTTGAAATCCAGCGCCCTTAACTGTATTAAATGCCGCTTTTGTTTTGACAGATGACACCCTGCTGATTTTACAGCAAGCTGAGAGGCAGTTGGCAAGGCCTAGTGGCAGGTATTTCGGAAAGAGGGCGATACACGAGCTACCTGACCCAGAAGAACTGGCTCAAATGATGGACGAGATTCAACGACGACTGTTAGACTAAGATCGTTTCATCTAATCTGAAGAAGCCTGATTGAGGACCTTACCTTTTAATGTAGTGACGAAATTTTCAACACCGAGATAAAACTGAGCCAAGGAATTGACTTTCCTTAACCTTTGTTATTTCCTTTAAGAGTATCATTAGTAATGATATAGCCATATTCCTTAACCCTTTACACCATAACATCCGTATTTACATTCTCCATACTGTTCTCTGTACATTTACTAAGGTGCTGACAAGGAGAATTTGTCTAGCAGCCAACTGTGTCTTTAGGTGGTGATCATTTCTTTTATTCTCGTGACTTTAATGAGTGATTCAGTGGTGATATTGTAAGGAGAAATTAGATGCTGATGACTCTTAGGGTTTATTGAGTTTTTTCTCCTATTGGGCGAAATAAGTCAATCAGACAAACTTTATTTATAGAGGGTAACACCTAATAGTGAACCGACTAATAAACATGTGGCCCTCTTAATTAACCCTTTACACCCTAACATCAGTATGCATATTCTCCATACTGTTCTCGATACATTTCTTTAGGTGCCGACAATGAGAATTTATGAGACAATCAAGAGCTCCTTTAATTGTTGAACATTTCTTTGATTCTCGTGACTTTAATGAGTGATTCAGGGCTGATATTGTAAGAAATTAGATGCTGGTGATTCTTAAGGGTTTAAGTGTTAACAAATAGGTAAAAAGCCCCACAGTAGTTATTGCATAGCAAACAAGCTCACAACGCACTGTAATCAAATATAATAAAACTTATCAAACGTATGTTAACATGTAAAATTAGATGCTAAAATTGTTGATAGTATTAAAAAATGGAACAAGCTGTGATAAATGCTCAAAAATGAAATATTTAGGAGTAGCGATTACATTATTCCTCGATGTTGTTGACTAGATATTATTGTTACCAAAATTTTTGTTTTTATTTTTTCTTTTTTTTTTTTACTCTGCGTATGACTTTCGCGATCGATATTTTAGAAACTGAAAAAGCCTTCTAATCTTTTTGCGGTTCACATAAAAAAGGCATGCTTTACTGTGAAGATTGTATAGCTTATATAGCTTATGAAAACAAAATGTAGGTTGCAGTCTGAAATGTGTAAGTTCATACATCTTCGTGAAATGACATATTCTCTGCGGAGATATAATTTCGTTCTTAATGAATAAAGATTGCAACCTTGTCAATTCTGTTCCCTAAATGACGTCAATAACGAGCTTAATGGTATGATCTTTTACAAGGAAATCTCTGCAACGGATTCTTCTTCAACAGGTTGAATGACATAAAGTTTAATTTGCGAAAATGTTTAGAAGCATTTCTCGGAATGAGTTCATCTGAAACGCAGTTTTCACAGTTTGCTGGACATGACTTCATCCTGGGTATTTCCGCTACCCGCTGCTCCACTAAGAGTATTTTCTGCCATTGGTGAATAATACTCCCCAAGGGGAGAGGTCTGTGGACTTTCCTGCTCGCTTAAGCCGCCCTTGTTCGCCATGGTTTGGTAATAGTCTGACGAAGTTGGGCCACTTGTTTCAGCAGCTGATCCATCAGATCTTCTCGTCACAGGCAAAGTATTCGATGCATCCATTGGAATGTAATCCTGTGGCGTAGAGTTATTTAAGGCATTGCTGCGCATTTCGTTATCCATCGGGACGTAATCATGTGGCGTAGAATGATTTAAAACATTATTGGACCCACCATTTTCCATTGGTACATAATAATCTTTCCCACGTCCCTTCGTTTGTGCATTTGACGCAATACTTCCAGGTGGCACTTGCGTGTCATTTACAAGCTCGAGATATTCAGGAAGAGGCCGCCCAGGATTATCATACTCATGGCAATTTTTCATGGTTCTAAAATCCAACTTCTCATATAACCCACTATCATTGAGGTCCTGCTCAGCGTCTATTGGTTCATAACTTGGTATTGCCGCAGTTGTTGGGTCAAGGGCTTGATACTGGGGGAGGGGAGGGAGAGTAGCACGTCTTCTTGCTCCTTTTCCTCCCGCAACTTCTGCCGGATTCGTCCGAGGTACGGATGAGTTATTTTGACGTACATCCAGGTATTGTGGAGTTTCGTCCGTAGCATCTGATCTCTCTTAAAGATGACAAAAAAATTATGTGTCATACCAGATAGCAATTGTTGAGCATGCTTAGTCAAATGTTATACAGTAAATCAAATATTTCTTCGTCTCCCTTAAATATAAAGGCCTTGCCACAGATGTCTTGGAAAAAGAAACTTCATCAACTCAAAACGTTTTGAAATTTGGCATGAATCAGCTTACAGAAATTTAACTTTAACATAAAAATGTTTTACTTGAATAACAACCCACCTTCATTTCCTCTCGCTTTTCTTCGTTTATAAAAAATTATGATAATAATAATTGCCACAATTAAAAGTACTCCTAGGGCAGCAGTTAAAATGATCCACAATGCATTATCTGAGAAGAATCTGCGTCTTGAACTTGGGGCAAGGCTGGTTGGCGGGTCTGATGAAATTAAAAAAAAAAAAAGAAATCAATTTTCCTCATAAATCTTGTGTTTCTGTTACTCTTATTTCATTCTCTAGCAGCTTCCTGTGTGCTTTACAACAGAAAAGAGCACACTCGAGGCTCCTTTATTTGTTGAATAACGCAATAGAAAGTTGATGAAGCGCGTCTATCAACGTGTGTTTCAAGACTACAACACGGAGGAAACTAGGAGAAGAGTGTTATACTTACCCTCAACTTCAACCCAAACAGACGACACATTCATTCCTTGATCATTCTCTGCAACACACTGAAACACAGCGTTGTGCCAGCTCTCCACGTGAATGAGATGTAATTTGTTCTTCTCTATTTTCACCCGAGAGCTGCTCAGATATGAGAACAAAAATAAAACTGGTTTAAACACATCAAATGCAGTCAATCATCAAGGAAAAATTTTGAAGTCATTTCCCTTACTCTGAAGCGTTAATTTCTTGTCCATTTCTGAACCATCGATAGCTAGGACTTGGGACACCATCTGCGATCAACATCACGGATAAGTTTTTTGATCTCTGTACTTGGATTTTCCGATGAAATCTGACTTTCCATTCGGGAGAGGCTGCAATTGGAATTAAGAAAATAAGTAAAGAAATGAAAGAAAATACTTAATTTATTTAAGTAATTTATTCTAAACTACGATGAAAACAGTTGTTACCACTACTGGTCATTAACGAGAAGAAGGAGTGGACTTACAAAAATTTGCCTATTCAGAGGTGATTCTAACCTGTTCCAGACTTTCAAATAGGTAAACGAAGCGAAATAGTAAACAGCGCGATAGTAGCGGCAGAGTGAGGTTTGGGTCGGGTCACGTAACTTCCATCGTAGTTACTCCGTAAATCCTATAGCAGGATTGATAAGTGTTTTGTGAATGACCCCAAAATCAACAGTCGCTGGGTAAAAATTGAACGCAAAGAAAACTTGTTATAAACTGATCATTTACGTTAGCCCGACGTTTGCCGTACGTGTTATTCCTGTGTAGCTAGACGTTTACCAGGCAGAGGTTTTAGTTATACTATCCATCAAAATCTTGGAGACATGCCTGATATTTAAACTTGTGATTGGGCTCGTTTTCTGAGAATTGTTTAGTTCATGGGTTTTGTTGACTCAGATAATATATCTGAAAATGGAACAGGTTTGCCTCTCATTAATAGCAACAAACGACTTCAAAACAAACCTTTCACTGTGAGGAAGGTGGAGGCCGACACACGCTCCATCTCAGACGCGGAAACCGCTGTACATGTATAATTCCCCTGATGTTCCTTAGAAACTTCGTTGATGAACAAAAGCCTGTTGAAATGTTCTCTCGGAAGATGATACTCATTGTCGTCGTCGTAAATCTTTTTGCCATCTTTCCACCATATGATTTTGGGTGGTGGCCTTGAGATAGAAGAAAAGCAAGTGGTAATGCTACCCGAGAATATAACGATATGCGCCGCGCAATCTCCCTGTATCAGCTGATTCCGAAGCGACGCTCGTTCGTCACTTTGCGCGGCAAATGATCGACGCCCGGTAGAATAGATGACGACTTTGATTTGCTATAACAAAATAGATGTTGATTATTCGTTGTCTTCAATATTGTGCACACGTTACGCCTTCTCCTCCATGCTTACGAAACGTCTGCAAATACAATTTCAATCTGATGACGCAGCAATTCTGCATCTATCTCATTATGTTTTTAGCGCACAATTTAGCAAGAACAGACGAATACAAAATACAAGCAATTTCTGTTGTCTAATGCTGATGTTAGTGCTGGTAAAAACGACAAGACAACTCGAAATAGCAAACTCATAGTCCAACCAACCAGTCGAAGAGGAGCTACGGAGACCTCAGCATCCGCATGCTTTGTCATTGTTAAGAAACGATCATTGGTTTACTTCCTCAAGGAAGACTTTTTATAATCCTTTTTTATATAATTTTGTCAAGTTTATGTACGGGCAGATGTTTAGAAGAGTTGGTTACTAAAATAATTCAAAATTGGATGATATGTACTTTATATTTTCATTATTATGTTTGAGCGGTTGACTTAGATTCGAGTTATTTCGCTTTCTTCAGAAATCCCTCCATGATAAGACACTTCACGACGAGAACAGAGAGCCTGAAAAAAATGTTTTCAATCCTGACGGTATAGAAACAAAAGTGTTTAACTTGAATATTGGTCGATAAAATTGATTTTTTCCTTCTTTGGAGCGTGGAATAAACATTTATGCAGACGATAAAGTTAATAACTGGTAAAATACATTAATTATTACTTATACAAAAATCAATCTGGTGACATTCTTCTTACTTTGCTACAGCCAAACAATAAAGTTTCTTCGGATATCCTTCTCTGGCTTCTTCAAGGGGCTTCGGTGCAAAATAAATAACTGGTGAAATCTTTTCGGTTGATTCTAGGAACAACAACAAAAATAACAACAAAAAAACAATACAAAAGTAAAATTAATTAAACATTAAGCTGTGAAATTCAAGAAACAGAGGGTCAACCATTGACATGTTTCTTTGACCCTTTTGGGCGTAGCTCTGGCTTTCAAAGAAATACTGAAAGGGACAGTTCAGCTGATTATTCTTAATCAAAGAGAATATCAATGGCAATTGAAATATTAAAAAGTAAGGGGCAGGTACATGGAATCGACGCAGTTGCTAAGATTCTACAGCAACTCTGTAAACTCTCAACCACGTAAGAACTGACGAACCTTACTAGTGAATACAAAAATGTCTTGAACGAATGCTTCTCAAAGGTAAAAAGGAACAAGATCGCTCAGTTTGCAAGAAACACCCTCAAGAACTGCAATTTAATATGTTTTTTTTCTTTACTTTTTTTGGTAATTCGTGTAGTGTGATCGTCCGGGTGAGTGTAGTTCTGAAAAGAACTGTTGTTGGTGACTGACGTTTCGACTATCTGTGCGATAGTCATCTTCAGAGTCAAGTGAGGAGTAGTTGTCAGTCGATGATGTTATAAAGTCTGGTTTGTTGAACGTGATTGGTCTGTTTAGCCGTGATGTGATTGGCTGGAAGACTCGTGTAGAGTTTGTTAACAGTCATTGGTCGGTTTCGATCCGTCTGTTGTTTGTCGGTCTGTTTGTCGGTTTGTTCACGTCGTTAATGAGTCGTTTGTAAGGTGCTGGTAATTGTTGACATCTGTTGAGAGGCGTCTGTTCTAAGTTAGTGAACCAGCTTTCCAGAGTCAGTCGTTGAAAATAGTTTGTACTGTAGGTTAAGCATTTAGCAGAGTCCCAGTCGATTCTGTGATTAGTTTGTCGGTGATGTTCAGAAATGTGATTGTTTACATCGCCATTTCTAGTTGCTCGTTTGTGTTCAGTTAGTCGCGTGTCGCGTGTTAAGGTTTCTACCAGTCTCACCAATGTAGGAGGCCTGGCAGTCGGAGCATTCGATCTTATAAATCGCCCCCTGTCTGTTGTTGGGTTCGTCTTTGTCTTTAACGTTGGTCAGCAAATGTCGTAAAGTAGTAATAGGCCTGTGAGCTACGCGAATGTTGTAAGGTTGTAGGATCCGCGCGATAGCCTCAGAAGTGCCTTTGATGTAGGGTATAGCAGCTGTAGTCGTGATAGATGTGGAGTCCCTGTTAGTTTCTGTAGCGTCGGTCACCCTGTGAGTGTTTCGTCTAATGAAGTCAGTGTTGTAGTTGTTTTTGTCAAAAACACGGTCAAGGTATTTGTTTTCGTCAGATAAACTGTCCGGTGTGTTGCAAACAAGTTGCGCTCGTCTTGTCAATGTCTTGATGGTCGTAGCTTTGTGGGAAGTCGGGTTGTAGGATGATTCGTCAAGAAGTCTGTCGGTATGCGTCGGTTTTCTGTATATTGTTGTTCGTAGTTCTCTCTCTCCGTCTTCTTCGATCTCCCTGGTAAACTGAATGTCGGTCTCTCTCTACAGGTGAAACCAGGTGGGTGTACGTGTATCTAAGGAAGGTGTCTGTAGTGAATTCCATGTTACCCTCTCTCTCTCTCTCTCTCTCCTCCCCTCCCCCGATGAAAAATTCACCCGATTCTTCCATTTAAATAAAGAGTGAAATTTAAACCTTTAACCTCAAAGAGCGATTGGCTTCTAATTTCTCCTTACCGGAGCACCACTGAATAAAACAATAAGATCACAAGAATAAAGGAGACGATCACCAGTTCAAGAGGCTTTGATTGGTTAACACTTTCTCCTTGTCAATACCATAAGAAATGTATAGAGAACAGTATGGAGAAAAAAGAGTTAAACACATAAAGTTCATACCTTTTCCAGTAAGTTGAAATTTCACCACATGTGAGTATCTTTCTTCGTCGCTCGTGGACATCTCGCAAGCTACTCCATTTATGCCATTCACTTTCTTAACGTCTGCTTTCGTCACAAACATAATCACAAGTGTTCCATCCATCGTCACCGCTGTACGGTTGTCCTCAGGAAGAGGATAGAACGCGCTGGGGTCGGAAGAGTCATAAAAAACCCAGCGGTAGCTTACACCAAAACTAGGGTCGTGGTTTGGACAAGGAATTTCAATAGGTTTTCCAAGGGTGACAGGGGCGTTCTTGTCGTTATCGTAGTGAAATTGGCCGGCGACTGGAAGAATAAACGTACATGTACATGGAGAAAATTTGATCAGAATAAATCAGTATTAACTACAATGCCATCATTGCTGCAGATAACGCATGATTCAAGGACTTTCTTTTCTCCTTTACTTGGAATAGTTAACAGACTTTGGGGATGCTTTCAACTGATGGTTGGCACTCCCCTTGATTCACGCTTAATTTGAATTTGATCATTTAAACGGTACTTGGGTTGACTTGTCGAGAGAGATAAAAAGTGAAAAATAAAGAGAAACTCTGACTGACTGAAGTTCACACCGATGGACGGCGCCTAAAATCAAGATTACTTGTTCGAAGAAGGTGATACACTGATGCAAGGCCGTCCCCAAGAATTTAAGCTTTATTCAGCATATTTCGGGCAAAGTCAATGACACTGACATAAGTCCGTCATTGGTGACGCGACCTTTCTTTGAGATATTCAAGGTTGTGACAAGCATTGATTCAAAGGCAAATGTATAAGTCTCCAGCCGTAAACGCGGCCTAAAAGTGATACAGTCAGGGAATATCACAAAGATACACTTGCACAACTCCATACATGGGGACATGGTGTTACACTGCGCAGGCCCACATTCGGGAACGCAGCCCCAAAGTGAGATAAATAACATGCGGCCTCAGGGTACGATTTCCCGGATATTCAATTACCGTGATGCACTGGTTACAAGTCCATTCCCGAAATGACGGCCTGGGCGCGAGATTGCCGGGGAAAAGTTAACGATGTCCAACGACAAGTCAAAACCGAGAAACTTCCATCAAACAGAGATGCCGGGATTTTTAATACGGACAGTGCTGGAGTGCAGAACTCAGAATAACGAGACTCTTAAAGATGCCACAAACCTGTAACACGAACTTTCAACTTTCTGCTGAAATCCTCACCGAATCTGTTTTTCACGATGCACTGGTAAATTCCGCTGTGAGTATCATCCAGATATCTTCCCGTAAGAGTCCCGTCCTTCATGATGTTAAAGTGATGATCAATCGAAATTTCCTGTCCGTTCAGTTTCCATTTGTGCTTAAAAGGAAAGGATCCAACTGCTTTGCATGGAAAACGAAATCCAGAGTCTGATCGAACATCTTCAGGCTTAATCAAATCCCTTGATGGAAAATCAGTTATGACTGGTGGCGCCCCTAGAAGAAGTTGAAGAGGAGAAGTTTGCTAAAGCCTCCAAATTGTTTCACTAATGCTGTACTGAAATAGTTACAGCCAAAGGAGTTGGAAATCGTTGAATAATATGATTGAAGCGCCATCCCGGAAGTAAGGATGACGCAGTCATCGAGAACCTTACACTCCCATTCGACTTCAAAGACCTGAATTCACATGCTGTTCGATTCAAGTCCTTGCTCCGAGAGCATTCTCCAATTACTGATTTTGCCCCCTCAAAAAAAAATCACGCAAACGCACAGAATTTCAAATAATTCTTGCTACACATAAGCCTACAGAGAAGATCCTTAACTCAGTGGCATTAAGTGAATAAGCAAATGACCTTTGTCTTACCATTTACAAGGAACAACCACCTCGTGTTTAGTCTGCCACAACACGACCACATTAATAGAGGCGGGAAGTTTCTAAAGAAACTGTTATGCTGCATTGGTGGAGGGTATTACAAGAGAATTTGGTTTTATTATCTGTGTTAATAATTTGAATTTGTTACGTAGAGTTCTAAAGCTGAAGTTTCGAGCATTAGCCCTTCGTCAGAACGAACGCGCGATTTTATTTTCGAGCATTTAATTTCCATTCGATTCCTCTAGGCAACTGTTCAAAGTCAGATTTTTTCACACCTGTTCAATCAATCCTATATCTTTTTCTAGATCGATCTTGGACAGATCAATTAATTAGATAGGTCATTGCATTTGACTAAATCAAAGTGACGTAAACCAATCAGATACGAATATTAGCGGCAGCCGACCGTTTTTCAATACTTACTCTAATTGATCAGATAAGGCCTTATAATTTAAAATATATCTACTTAATATAAACCAATCAGAAGCTAGTATTAGCGGCATCCGACAGTGGTGCCATTAAGAGTCATATCACACCAAGATAAGACTGGACAATAAGTTCAAACTTATTCCTACCTGACTTGGCGTTAGTAATCCTCAGAAGTAAAATAAACCAAGCTGACAACGGACGCAGCATCGTTTAAATAGACGTTGTGTTAATTCCTGGGAAGACCAATACGACAAGATAAGCAATTAAATGGACGACTATATTGTGACGTTATTTGAAGCTATAATATAAGGCAAACGGTGAAAAAGGCCCACTTACTATAAATTTAAAATAATTGATTATTAATTATTAAAAGTCTCCGTTACAAAGTAAACAAAATATCTTCGGTTCAAATTATCCAATCTTATTTTTCCTGAATACATTTTGTTTGGCGAGGAATTTATACGGCAATCATTACAATCTCTTTATATAAATTTACGATTTCCAGATAAATTTATTTGTTTTGTATTTTGTTTTTTTTTTCGGTAAAAAAGCTACCTGGACCAGATGTGCACGACTGATACACGCGCGAGAGTAATCCACGCGCAAAGTCAATGACCTTCACGCAACCTCATGTTACTTAAAAAGTACACATGCAGCCTATTTAGCTTTTCTCGAGTAAGAACCACAACTATAATCTTCTGAATTTTACTCTGGCCTCGAAAATCGTTTTAGATCAGAACATGCGATAAAATGTACTCCGCTTAGTCGAATGAAAGTAAATCAATGAATAAACAAATAATTTCACGGGAGCCTGATTTAATTTCAAACCGAAAGAAATTGAGGCAAACGAAGAGGTACAGCTATAAATGGCGAGGAAATATCTCGCAGTTATTCCATTCGATTAGCGTTACAGACTACGCATCAATTTCGAAAGAATAATACGCTTTTTTTTTTTTGACAAGTCGCATTTGTATCAGATAACCGTTGTACAGAACCGATTCTTGAATACAACCTCTAATTTCCAACCAAAATATATAAATCAGTAACGAGTTAGCACAACTTAAATAGATGATGACCTTTCGCTTGGTTTAAACAGAGCCCCTCGGCGACGAAATTACCTTACTTCACTTATCAAGAGAAGTATTCCACTTCGCAACATTATATATATTTTTTTTTAAAGCAGTCTGCTTCGACTTACCTGTCACATCTAATTTACATTCAAATATCTTCCTTTATCGACGAACAATCGCCGACAGCGGTTACATTGCTTACAATAGTTCAAAAGATATTCTGCAGCTGCTTCGTCTATGAGTACATATCATATCCAACAAAAGAAAACGAAATAAACCTTACGGCCTGAGAAAGTGTGAACCGCCATGTTCGGCGAAAACAACCAACACGCACTTTTCTTTAGTTTTTGTTCTCTCGTTAAAAATTAATCACTTTGGATTCTGCGAATTGACATATCATTAATGATTGATTTTTTAATACGTCGTCAAATAAAATAACTAATTTACGAACGATACAGCCAGCAAAAGTAGCTAAATGATTTCATGTAGTTATTGCAGGCAACAATAACAAAAGATTATTTGACTTTTAAGCGGCGAGTATTTGTAAAACAATTGTTGGCAGGACAACAAAAGTTTAAGCTACAAATGAGACCATTGCTCTGAGCATTTCACCCCGCAGATTTGCAAGTGTCAGTTTTTTCTCTATCCAATTCGCCCGGAAATACATAATAACAAATCAAATTTACGAGCCCTTCGGCTATTTGCATCCAAAAGCTGCCGGTTTTCGCTAAATAAGTGTAAAAAGTTATTCTCCAAACAAATTTAAGTAGCAATGAATAGGAATGAATGTTTGATCGAAATATCTAGATTCCTGCAAGTTCTAAAACTTAATTTTGTATTCTGCACTCACCCCGTTAAATTCTCCGCGACACGCTTGATTCTTATGTTTCAAGTGAACTCTGACCCAAAGTTTTTCGCTTTGGTCAACTGATCAACTTCTGAACTCGTTTCAAACGCAACTCATTATGGAAGCATGACAAGAGGAAGGATTACAACTACTTGGTATGCGGTCATAATAGCAGATCACAAAGGAATTAACATAACAATGTCTAAAATTGACCGCGTGCAGTATCCATGTAATCGTCCAGTACTTTTGAAAAGACAGACTTCTTAAAGAGACCTAGCAGGTTACTTATTCCCTAGATTTAAAGGAAATTTTGAAATTAGATTTAGAAAAAAACTATTTTTCTTTTTAGCTTTGTTTACTTTTAATACAAATCTTTCATTTACTTTAGCAATGACGTCAGACGAACATGCAAAACGTGGGTTGCTTTGATTTAATTGGACTAATCCAGTCGCATAGGCTAAGAAGGAGTAAAAACGAGGAAAAGTAATGATAAAAACGTCAGAAGGATCTATCCTTCAATTCGGGTATCACTGGAACTTATGTTACAACCTATGTCCTCAGGCTGAGGATACGTGAAGCTTTCTTTTCAGTGTCCGGTTCAACAGAGTTCCCTTTATACAGGTTTTACGGTCAATATATTCTTCCAGAAAAAGTTAACATTTACGCCCAAAAACTCCCGTGACTTCAAATCAAAGAAGAGATTCAGATGATCCGATTCGTTCAGGACCAATCCAATAGGACACTATATAATTTGAACATGGCAAGATATTCCAAAATTGTTCCTCTTTTCTTACCTCTTGACAAACCCCCCTCTCTAGAATCAACTGAGCCAACCGAGATCGAGAAACGGTGGACAGCTCTTTTCATTTCACAATAGGAGCGTCCTCTGTATTGCCTTTTTGACTTTTTCTCTTTTTCTACGAGAGAATTACACCTTGACCTTATTTCTGCGCAGTTGAGGGTCACAATAAGGAAATGAAACAATCCATGATGACATGCGAATATGACACGTGTTGACATGAGAAGCGCGGGCCTTGGACGAGTCAGTGACTGATGTACTTATTTCATTTTGACATGAAATGTTATCTATTTCAGAGCTCGCGCACGGTATACTTTCTTCATAAAAAGGATACCAAAGCAAAGTAAACAAGCTACGAACTTTCCTCTCAACTGTATTCATATGGAAATTTTGCAAATACAGGTTAGACATGGGTCTCGATCGAAAGAATATGCATTCATGCACGGTTATGTCGCGTGGTAAGTAAGCGTGACATTAAATTCCATTTGAAATTTGGAGTCATTTGGAATACTAGTTACAGCACAAGACATTAGAGTGACGATGCTGTGGATCGACGAAGCTTGAATGCTTATTTTCGGTGCAGTAGCTTGAGACCTCACTTGAACCATTATCAAAAAATTAAGGTTTTGAAGATAAAGAACTGGACTTGACTGATTGAACAGAAGAATTACGAAAGGCTCTTGGCAACCGACTGAAAACCAGCCTTGGAAACTGAAGGGAGAGGATGCTACAAGGAGAAAAAAATATTATTTTCAATAGAGTTCATTCACAGTTGAATTTAATATAAATTGGCTACTCCCCCAAAGAGGCTCTTCGGGGCCAAGTTGGCTTTTCTAAAAGCGATCCAAGGAGTTGAACTCGGGGAAACTGATAACAAATATATCAGGGTGGAGGACTTGAACACAGAACCACAAGATTACAAGACAGGGCCCTACCCACTCGCCTGCTCTGCCTCCTCATCAAAATTAAGATGGTTTAATTAAATGATCCAGAAAGATATTTTAAATTATTTATTCGAAGTTTGATGAAACACTGATATTCAGCAATGTGCCGTTAACTAATAACCAGGATAAAAAATTTCCAAAATTAAATCTATCCCGTCTTAGTGAGGACTATTCATAGAAATGTCACTCACATAAAAGCAACGACAGCACTTCATCTACTGCAATTGAGCTGGAGTACAAAATACTTCCTCATCGATTAAAATTACATACCATACCTGTTTTCTGGTTTATTATCTTAAAGACGCGTGTTTGTGTCGGGCCGAACATAACCACTCCCTGTGAAGTGATATTTCCTTGCCACACTACTTATGTCTACGACTACTTATCGGATTGATGAAGAAAAAGCTGTACAAATAAATACATATGTGATATTTAGGCTGAGTCATTCTTTCTCGATTCAAGTGAAGTTATCAGTGTAGCCTTCTTGGTTCAGCGCCACTCCAATATTGGAAGATTCTTTAAAAAAAACCCCTGATTTGAACTTGAAATCGATTGATCATGCTGACGACAGCAAACAAGTCCTGCCCTATCATATGACTAGAAAGACTCTTCTGTTGGGAAAATTTGGTTTTGTTCTCCACTCAACGAAGGGTATATTGACAACCCTTTCGGATACTTCTTAGAATGCGTATGAGCACCTATAAAACTGACACATTAATTTTAATGAACTACTTAACTATTTTACATCTTTAAACAAACACCTTGGTAAATGTTTGAAACATTTAATCTACGGGAACGCTGATACTCAGTTCAGCTGAGTGTCTGACTGCACTCGTGATAACATAACAGGAGCCCGGAACGTGAGCCGCCGTGGAGCAACATCTCTAGATTATTTCTATAAAGGTCTTTGCTCTTAAACAAACGTTTTGATCGGCCGATTATTGTACTACAGTAAGCAAATACAATAAATTAAAGCGTTGTCCTTTTTTCTGTTACCAAGACTGACCTATAATGAACACCTTCGTTTTATAAAACATAAATCATCTGTGATAGCATCGCGTTTGGAAATTCTGAATTTTCTAATGATATATTTCAAAGCAGAATCGCCCTTCGAACTGGCTCATAATGGCTTCATCAAACCGACGCAAATTAGAAAGTAGACAAAAGTTCAGGAGCTCGTTCATCGAATATGAGAGACGTTTTAGCATTTTAATGTTCAGTGTCTCGAGACTTTTCTCTATGCTTATTTTGAATCAAAACTCGACCCACAAAGATTACCAAATTTTTTTTAGCAAGTTTCTCCTGTAGGACTTCAATCGTTGCACTTTCATAGTTCATACACATTTTTTGTATGTCTCCTTTAGCTGACGTCAAACAACTCTTTAAATTTTAGTTTTCTTCCCTCGAAAATATTCCCCCTCGAAGTATTCAAGAAAAATACAGCAAAAAGGCTCGTTGAACATAAAGTTTGAAGAAAGTGAGAGAGTAGAGTAGATCTAAAACCGGTTCTACGAAAAAACAGTTTCTTCAACTTAAAATCTCGACAAAAGGACGTACAATTTGTACAGAAAATGATCACCCATTTTCTTTGGAAAAACCAACTCATCTCCTTCGTGCCACTTCTTCTCTTTATCATCACAAATTCTGAGAGACTTAAATCTATGATGTTAACACGCTTCTGAACATTTTGTCATTCCCATCTTTGTGCCTTTAGCGTCTCCTGTCAATATCAACAAAGACATTGGGTTCAATTTCCTGGAAAATTGCTCGTTATCGTGTGCTAGCTCTCTAACGTGTGCAAAGTTTTGAAACTTGCGAACAGCAGCATACTCGCTAGAAGGCAGAACTCTCCTGCACGGTCATATAGTGCCTGATGCACTGCGTGAGCAAAAAGCACCTGAATTGCAGCATTTCCTTAGTGAACTATCACAGAATCCTTTTTAGCTAATAAGTCCCTACACAGCAAGCAATTTGTTGTGTTCCTTGTGTTGAATTCTGGAATAGAGTTCCTTGGCCAGGAGTGCGAGCTTTGTGGATAAATTGATAAGATAAATTATAAGTTTCATGCCCTAAAAATACTAGCAACTATCCGGGTTTGATTTCAATAAGTACAGAGCATATTTCAAATATAGGACGTGTACTATTCACGATTTGGGAATTTATTTTAATGTTTAACTATGCACCCCGACTTAAATCCATTTCGAATTCACACGTAAAAGGTGAGTATAGGACGAATAACACCAACGACAAGGGAGACAGATGTTTTACAGTATCATCGAGAAAAATATTAAGTCTGTCTCGGATAAGAAACTCGATCGTTCTTGTACTTACCTCGAGATGGAACACCTTTTACAAAGTCTGATGTCGAAAGTTAGTATATCTGAACTTCTAACTAGCTTTGGGATTCCATTTCTCTCAATTAACTGTAAATAAGTATTACTTTTTATTATGGAATCTTAGGGAATGTACTTTCTCCAAATTGCGTATTGATTAATAAGATGCAATTGTTAATATCAGTAATTTATATGGTATTTATTAAGTCATAAGGGTCGTATAAGCGTCTGTCATCCACTGGTGCTACATCCCTGAGACACTGAAATAAACTTGCTATTATAATTATTATAATTATTAATATTATTATTGTTGTTATCATTATCATATCATATTCCCGCTCAGGGATTTTTTTCGAGCGTACTCTGCTGGGCAAAGTAATTACTCGGGACTAATTTGACTTAAAAGAATTAAGTGTATTTATCTCTGCTCTTCTTTCGTTTTAAACCAATGGATGGATTGGAGCCCTCAATGGGATCTTCGCTTCTTTGAGTTTCGGGCGTTTAGTTTCAGTCCAAGTTTCTCGGATCATTTTAATTTCCCAGCTCTGGAAATTTTAAAGAACCTATTCCCTCAGGTAGTCATATTTATTATTGTGAGTTTATTTTTAGTTGTAATCTTAGCTTTTTAAATTATTGTAAGTTTACTCTTAATTGTACTTTTGGGTTGTCAGCCTTTTCATTTCGTTTTTTAATCTTGTCATGCGCATTTGAACATTTTATGGAATTTGCGCATTATAAATGTCCTATTATTATTATTATTATTATTATTAGTCATATACAAGCAAGTACCTATATTAATAAAAAAAAAGTTTTACTCTCACGTGTTGATCGGGACATCGATTTGATTTTTTTCTTTTTTTTTTTTCCAAAAGGACTATAACATCATTTGAAACCCTCTTTAATCGTTTTTCGAAAGAATGAGTTATACTCAGATAAACAAGAAAGGCTCCGTTTTAATTTCAATGTAATCTACAATCAACCAGTTGCCTTGACAACTTATCAAATTTAACAGCATCAAGCGTCTAAAATAGAGAACTTTCAAATATTTTCTCTATGACAAGCTACAACCAGCAAGCTGAAAAATATTGTACGACTCAATTCAATGACAAAGACATGTCTTTTGTAAAAGCACGATACACTTAATTTTACTTCTATCTGCCTATTCTGAAAAAGGGTTTCTCTACGAAAGGATAGTTGGTTTGGATTTTAAAAACAAATTGAGTAATTCCAATTACCTCGCAGATAATACTTTGGATTAACGTTGAAATCTGGATTTCAAATGCGTATCGATTCAAGTAACTCTTATGGAAAAAAGCATGTTTCGTTTGAGCAACCTTTTTGACGTCGTGAGCAAAACTGGATGAATTGTTAAAAGAGACGTTTAATGAGGAAGAAAAGAGCAAATAATTTGCCAAAGAAATTAAAAATAGTTGAGATCATGTGAGTTTTAAAGCGACAAACTTAAAAGAATATAACCTTGACTCTCAAAAAGACTGATTAAACCTCAACGTAGCTCTCTAGACATTCCAAATACCTTCAGAGGCTGTAACGTACATGTTACTTTTTTGTGCTTCACTTATATAGCTGGTCATACTAGTCTACTAATAGAGGTAAAAGAGATATACACATAAGGACCACATAGTATCATCTGGACAGCTTGCCACTTTTTAAAAATTACACAAATGACTACACTTCTAGTAAATAGAATCTTGTGGATTTCGCCTCTCATCAGAGGTTCTCAATAAGGTGATGGTTTCAGCGACTAACGGTTATTTTTTGGCAATACGGCTCATACTTAATTTATTTCCCTTGCAATTAAAAAAACATACGGTTATCTTTTTTGACGACTAATGGTTGAAATAGTTTGCTGAATTATAACCACAAAAACTACATGTTCCTATGTTCTTCTGTCCCTGTTTGTGGTGAGATATGTGCATTATTATTATATGTGCATATAGCGCATATAATAATAATGTTATGTGCCAACGCTGGTACTAGACAAAATTAAGCAAGGATTCCAGGATATAAGGATGTTTCATAAATGGGGGTTTTTCAAATTTAGCACTACTCTTTGTAAAATTCTAGTCAAAAACAGTTATCATCCAGTACTTAAAGGATACCTCTATAGATAGAAGCGCCGCCTACAGTATCCATGCTTTACTTTTTCATTATTCATCATGAAAATCCTTGTTTACGACAGTTCATTTCTTCAATTTCAAAAAAGCGTGGATGGCTTCTATCATTTACCACGCGCATCCAATCGTAGCTATTATATAAATGTGTACCCATAAAGACGTTGAGTCTCATCGTTCATTGCTTACTTTTTTTAGACTTAAAGTTTTGCAGTCGAGTGTGTAGAGAGTAGCACGTTATGTAGCAGTTAGGGAGAAAACTCAATTTTAAGAAAGAGCTTGTCATCTTTTACATAAGCATGACTAAATGCTTCTTCTATGGAAGCAAAATTTACAAAACCGCATCCCGTACGACTTATCTCTTCTGTTGGCTTCTGAAAGGCTATCATGTTAGGCTGAGCTTGAAGGATTTGGCTTAAATGGCGTTCGGCACCACTCTGATCTATAATGGACAGCGTGATCCTCTGAGTAAAAGGCCACCTTACTTCAAAGTTGTCATACTTCCCCATCATCATGTGCACAAAGATGGCGACAAACCTGCCTCTTCCATCACCTACGCCATTGAGGTATATCCTCAAGCCAAGCTTGTATCCATAGCGATCGGTTTTGATAGGACAGGTGAAGACAGCAGTTGTGCTTCCATTGGCATCAACATAGCGATGCTGGCTAACCTCAGTAATCTCTGCTATGAAAAATGCATCTCGTGCATTCATTCCCTTTGTGGCTTTTTGTGGCTTGGTCCTACATAAAAGTAGTTTATCAATTAAGTTCTGAAATGAACTCTTTCCGCTAAGCATGGAGCTGAAGAAGGAAAAAAGTTCCGGTTTCCTATGGTCAAGCTAATAAACAAAACCCCTCAGCAAATTCTCACTGATTAGAAACAGTCAATCCTTTCTCTGATACACTAGATAATTTCGTGAAAGAAAAATTTTTCTAAGCCTAATGATACTTGCCTGGTAGTTTCCTTTTTCCACAATCGCATTTCTTGCATAGTACAGCTTTGCTGAATTGCTTGGTCATTCTCGCCGAGGGAACTCACACCATTTACTTGGAAATCGTTGGTTTGCTGCTGACATCGAGATTGATCATATCCTCTCAGTAGCCGCAGGCCTAACGTCTCTTGCACCAGGTGACTACCTCGAACATCCTGATCACTCTCTTGTACTGGATAACCCATTGAGCTTTCTGCTGATAGTGGTGATTCTTGTACTGCTGGTTCTGGGGTAGGTGAACTCAATCCATTGTGAAGTGCACAATCTCCCTGCTGGAAGTTTGGCGGCTCTGATGTCTCCACTCGTTGATCCGAAAGCAGATTTTCTACCTGGATAGGGTAAAACACATCCAGGGCCTCGTCTCCTGCGCATGGTTCAAGGAGCTGTAGCTGGTCTCTAACTGCTGTCGAGTTAGGAGGCAAATTCACCTCTTCGGCGAAGGATGATGCTTCATCACAAGCTCCATCATCAGCAAATAACAACGCTTGAGCCTACAAAGATAGAGAATTGATTATGCTCAAGAATAGTAATCGTTCACGCGTTTCTTGCAATCACCTGGACGATCGAGTAGTTTTCATTAGAATGATTAAAAATCACGGTCTGTCAAATGTTGTCAGTCTGGTTTGTAAAAACGTATAGTTTCATAAGAAAAAAAACATCTATCGTTTCCCCTCTTTTTCAGCAAATTTCAATCTTCGATTTCAATGAATTCGGAATTCTCCAATTATCATAACGAAGTTGTGTGTTACGAATTTCATTTTTTATTCAAAGTATTAACATCACACTTGGAAGCCATCATTATAGGTGCTAAAGGTGCTCACCTCAGAAACTGGTAATTCATTATCACACGCGGCGGAAAATCTTGCACCGTTCCTTCTTGAAAACATAAGCAAAATGATATGAATTGATTTTAAATTTGTATTGCATTGAAATTTCTTGCCCTGTATCTTAAATTACGAGTTTGTTTCAATAATTTTGATAAGTCGTATTTGGTCCGTGCTCGACAGACGGCTGTCAGAGAACATAGCAAGACCCTAAGAATGAGTGCAAAATATGTGTTTTTGCCTCGTAAACATTGCAAAAAGAGCATGCGCAGTGATGAGAATACACAGGTTCAAAGGGTCAAGTGCGCTTATATAAAACCTACCTTATGAATAGGCCCTCATTTTAAACGCTTCTATATATACAAGTGTTTTTTCGCCCGCGAGAAAGTTTTAGGCCCTGGGCGACACCAGCCGGCGAGGGGTCTTCAAGTAGAAGTGATTGGTGCTGGATCCCTTGCGCACCCCTTGCCGTTTCCTAACTAAACCTTACCCTCAGGCAAAGAAACGCCATTCCGTAGCGCTAATAACGAAGGCCTGCTCCTTAGGTTGTCAGTATACGAACAAAACAAAAATTCTAAATAATATTCCTTACAACTTAAACTGAAAAAAATGACAGTTCACGTAGGATAAGAACTGAACTGAAATTCATACATTAAAAGAGAAAAACGGGTCATGTTATAGTTGCAAAATAGAGATATATTTTAAAGGACATTGTAATTTACCTAAGGGCCGGATTTGAATGGATTCCAAGCGCAAAATGAAGCCTAAATCTCTAATTCACCTGGATCACCTTTACTCAATTTCAGTCAATGAGATCAGAGTTCTCGGTTCCTTTGATGCTTCTCTGTCAATTATTCATTCTACCAAGGCCAATAAATGATGAGTGATAGATTGCGATAAAATGCAAGTACACAACAATTTTTAATCCTAACATCACAATGTTAGGATTAAAAATGTTGTATCAAAATGTTCCATCTCCTCGGCAGAAAAATAATTACAAATTTTCGAATTCATGTGTAACGTTTACCGTTCGTGTGTTATTGGGCGAACAATGTATTTTCACAATTGTTCGATCATTATGTATGATATAATGTAATTTATGCAATGTTATAATTGGTTAAATTAGCTAGTCCTTCAAACTTCCACAAGCCTCCACTTGTTTTTGTGACCACGTTCATGACCTCAGTGACAAAATCTATTTAAAGGCAGCATTTATGTTTCCGCTGTACTGAGTAAATCATTTATGTTATGATGACGTTGGCTGTGTTTGCAAGTCACGCAACCTGCACAGGCTCGGTGGTGTTTCTGTGACCGAACGCGGAAGCGATAGATCATTCGATATTCAGTCTAGAGGCGTCTTGTGATGTTGATGTTAATAACTCAGTTCTCTATCTCTCTTCGCGACATCATGGTCTACAATACGGAAAAACTAAGCGTCCGTGATCAAACCAAACTCAGTCAGGGCTTGAGAATCTTTGTATCAAGGTAAATGCCGGCTCGTGATGTTGAAGTCGACCTAGGCCTGTTCTAGAACATTCTGGATGGAGACGTGTTATTAGTTTCTCTTGACGGAAAGTTATTCCCTAGATGTTACAGTACTGTTAGGAAACAGCATCAACGTACGTCCACTAAAGCAAATGCCAACAAGAGAGTTTAGTTTCGTTAAGCTAAATTGGACGAGCGTTATTCGCTTTCACCTCTCGTGTGGGACTCATTCTTCTATCTACAGTGGATCAATTCATTTGGAAGGTCTGGTGAACAGATATTAGGTATGTGCATCCATCTTACATATGAATTGCGAATTTTAAAATTCGAGTGTCGGCTTGGCTAGATCTCAGGGCTGAACGATCATTTACTGTATCAGATTATTTCGAGGCGAATAATTTGTGTTGGGGACAGACGATTTTGTTAACGCAATCATGAGAACGCAACGAGGCAAAGTCGATCTAGATGTGTTCTATCCTTTATGATAATTTGACAAAATCGTAAACGCTGAGGTAGAATAACTCCTTTGCTAAACATATCTATGGAGCTTATGAAAAGAATTGATAAGCAATGCAAGCCACTGGCTTTTAAGTTTCCGGCTGTGATTACAGGAAGGGTTGACAACATAATTAAAAGTTTAGTATACGACCATTGTAACTTTCGCTTTCTATCGAGACATATCTTCTGTCTGTAAAGATATCTAATGATCGAGGATTGACAAGGTTTGTGTTGGATTTTGACCTCGAGAAAGATCGCAATATTTGTTCAGATTTATGATTGGTGCTATGGTTAATACAGGAAAACTAGCTTACGTCTCTTCGTTTACTTCTCTTTTTCATGACAAAGCCCGCCTTCTTATGTTATTAATATTTAAGGATAAGAGATTTCGATGCAAATCGTCGAACTCATGTGTAATGCTTTACCGAAAAATATTTCATAAATCATGTTCGACGTTGAGGGATATGAACGCAGTGATTAAACCGAGCAAGCTTAAGTATGTCTAATCGTTTATTTCGATATTATAAACCTGTTGAATGTATTTACTTACAAATAACCAGATCAAACAATCTAAACCTAACTGATGAAGCATAAGTTGTACCAAATTGCTTGATGACTCCCCTCTGCGATCGGCTCGTCAGACTTTCGCATAAACCTTGTCTCAAAAAGGAATGATTTGCAATGCTAACACCTAAAATATTGCTGTGAAATACGCCGCAATTGTTCAATTTACGTCAGAACTCTTTCCTTACTCACAGTCTGACAGCTAATGATTTTCACTCAGCAGATGCAATTAACATTAAACACTAAACCGCCGCCTCACGCGAACTTAACTGAGCATTGAGTCATGGGATAAGAATTTCCGTTACTCTTTTTTACGCAGGCTAATACGGATCAAGGATTCTGACCTTGTAGAAAATTATTTCAGGGAAAGACCTTGTACAATAAATGTTGTGACTTCCTTTCTAGTGTTACAACAATCCCGCGATACTCACGATTTTCAGTTTTGTGTAAGAAGGTTTGACGATGGCCTGTTAAACCGAGCAATCTTAAGTATGTCTAGTCGTTTATTTCGATATTATAGACCTGTTGAATGTATTTCAACATAATGTTTTATAACATTATAAGTCTAACCACATCCTATATTAAAAAATTGTTTCGAGTAACATAGTTGTTATCAAAGTTGTTTTGAAACATGTGCAACCCAGCGTACGGTGTCAGAGAATGAAAGTCATCCTAGGCCATGAATATTCTCGAATAACAAACTAACAGGTAACACAGGGTTTAAGGCGTGCGGCGTGCTTTACGCTTAATTCTTAATCCATACTTTCTCTTGCTGATTTTCTCGTTACGACCTAGAGAACTTCATTTGTCAATGTTGGAGACTCACGCTAATTTTTCTGTATAGATATCTCTAGATATTATTTCGCACACGTTCTCTTGTTGAAATGGGACCTCTTACGAGACCTCATATGCTACGCTACGCATATGCTAAAACTGAAGCAAATCAGTATTTTTACTACAGTTTGAAATTCAATCTGAGAGATTCCAGACACAAAGATTGACTCATAAACTATCAGTTCGCACATGACCGAGTCAGACTTGAAATCTTTCAACAAGGTAATTTATTTTTAGTTTTTTTTAATTTTCGCTTTCGCCGAAGGAGGGTACGGAAGTGATGTAAACTACTAGATCTGTTTGCTTTATTCTTCTTGACAGTCTCACATGATCTTTCATGTATTTATTTTATGTTGAAGAATCTGAGAATTAGCTCCCAAAGGCTTTTGCCTGTAGAAAAAGTCAGGTTAGTCTAAAGATACTGAGGAAATGATGGAAAATCTTTAAGCGAAGTATATATTTGAATGCGGACGCTGAATTGCAAATTTATCCGAAAATAAAAACGGCAGAACGGAAGTGATGTCAACTACTGGATCTGTTTGCTTTATTCTTTCAACCTCACTGTGTTATCCATTCGCACAGCCAAGCTTTTCGTGGCCTGACAGTCTCACATGATCTTTCATGTATTTATTTTAAGTTGAAGAATCTGAGAATCCCAGAGGCTTTTGCCTGTGCAAAAAGTCACGTTAGGCCAAAGATACTGAGGAAAATTGTTATCCACTGAGCTGAAAGAAATAGAGAAACTTATGTCGTTTCGATTTCCACAGATGATATTACTGGGTTAGTCCAAAGATATGTCCTTCTTGTTCAGTCCGAAAGAACAAGTATGGGAGCAGGGGTGCCTTGTTTATCATTCGATACGGGCTCTGATAGCGCTTTTTGCGTTATTTGAAACGCAAGCTGTCTGTAATTCAGTAGCAATCTAAAGATAAAGTTCAATTTTAGAGTCACCGACGGAAAAGATGAATGAAGATAAAAATCTTTGTGACAGAGGAAAAGTGGCAGGATGACAGGATGCAAATGACCCACTTTTCGTTGTACGACTTTGATGCAAGGCAATCAGGCGATTATCGCGCGAATTCAAACTGGTTAGAATTTGTTCAAAGTATTGCGGTGACAAAATGGCAAGATACAGACGGTGCTTATATGGTGTCAGGACCCAAAACTATTTACAGAAAGTGTCTTTTCGTAAAATAAAAGGAACTAAGCACGAACAAAACAAGCGTCCTTATTTCTCGTCGCATGCGCTTAACAAGAATCATAGCCAAGCAACCTCATAAAATTTTGAAAATTAATCCTGCAAAATAAACTATACCTTGTAGTCCGTGTCACACATTTTGGACAAAGTAATTGACCATATTCAGCGTGCAGTACCTCTCTAACAGCTATAACGTGGCGGCAAAGGGGACATTTATATTTCACGACGATCTTGCTTCGTTCAGATTCCAAAAGCGGATCAGAAGAATGAACGCCACTGCTCTCATTTCCCTCCCTTCGAAATTTCATCTCCTCTATGCAACGAAAAGGATTCGACTCGAGCGGATGGTATGAGAATTCTTAATGTTTACGAATCGCATACAGCCTTTGAAACTATGCAGTTTTTCTAGTGACTAGATGTGAATTAATGGATGAGTATATTATCAGGCGAATTAACCAATCAGATTACGATTTAAATGACAAAAAAATCCCTCCCCCAAATGATTTCGCGTATCGATCTTGCTTCGTTTTGTTTCTGTTTCCAAGAGTGGGTCAGAAGCATGAACGCCGCTGCTCTTATTTACCTACCTTCGAAAGTTCATCTCCTCTGTGGAACGAAAATGAATCGACTCGAACGGATGGTTTGAGTATTCTTAATTAATGTATACGAATCAAATACAGTCTTTGAAGCTATGGCTGCTTCTATAGTGATTAGAGATGGCCAAATATGTTATTAGGGGAATTAACAAATCAGATTACGTTTTAAATGACAGGGGAATTCACGGATGATATCATTTTTTCCTACGAGTGCGTGAGTGGGCAGGTTCTATGAATTCCTAGCCGTTGCGTGTTGAGTTGCCTTTCTGAATTTTCATAAATATTTTTTTTTTTGCCGGCCGGGCAGCATCTCTTCGGTCACGACCTTCAGCCGATAAAAATATAAAAATTATAATTTCTCTTTTCTCTGTCTTAAATCACTTCGGTTTTCCCGCAGAAACTTGTTTTGAAATGAAGTTTGTAGTGCCGAATGAATTATTTTTTTTTAATAGAGTAAGGCTCAACACTACTGTCTCAACCTCTCTTGGGTTTATTGTGCCACAAACACTTCCGCATGGCTTTCCATATATCCCAGCTCTCGAAATAACTGAAGTCTTTCTTGATCATTTGAAGCGAAATCTTTGTGCTATGTAGAAAATCCGTTATTGACCAAGCTTGTTCGGTCAAGCTAGCTGGATACTTCTGTCGAAAATCTGAAAAAGCTGTAGCACGCTTCCTTATTATGTCACGGTTTACGCACTTGATTTAACGATTTTACCACAACGCTACGGCTAACTCCCACTCACAGCTTCCAACTTATTAAAAAAGAACACACATAAACGTCACGTAGTAGGCGCGTGAAACAATGCCATATTTAAGGCGATACAACACGTGCCGTCGTTTGGTTATGTATGGATAAACGAAATCACTTTTAAATGTCAATCAAATTAAGAATAATTAACGTATAGTATAGTTTGCAACACTTCGCTGCGGTCCATAGTTCGCAAACAAAGAACTCAGCCCCTATCCAACCATCGCGCGCGCTTTGTCAATAACACATACAAACATAATACCACTAGCAAGACTCTTAAGAGTTAAGTAAAATGTAGCTACATTCGGTAGGGTCAGGGATGGTCGAATTAGAGTAGGTTTGCCTGTGGACTGCACTTAAACGGTTTGAGCAGGAAAACTATGAAATTTCAAATCAGTACAATGATATAGAATGTTGGTATTCAACATCTCAAGCTCTTAATTATAAGCTTGTTACAGATACTAAATGGCGAGGAACATCACCTTTTTCAATATTTTTCTTTTGCTTTTATTGGCTTCGTTTCTCTGCAGCTTTGATCATGAATTGTATCCTAATTACCGCGTTTTATGGGAGTCGTCATAAACGATTTACCTGAGAACCTTTAAGCATAGCATATGATATGATTTTAAAATTTCGTCGGTATTTTATGGGCATTTGCCTTGTTTTCTTAAACTGGTTGATCTATTAAGTTTCCTTTGAATCTACGGAATTAAAAACGAACAAGACAAGCGTCCTTGTTTCTCGTCGCGTGCGCCTAACAAGAATCATAGAAACAAGCAACCTCATAAAACTTGATGAAATTAATCCTGCAAAATAAACTATACCTTGTAGTCCGTGTCATACATTTTGGACAAAGTAATTGACCATATTCAGCGTGCAGTGCCTCTCTAACAGCCATAAAGTGGCGGCGAAGGGGACATTTGTCGTTCACAACGATCTTGCTTCGTTAAGTTTCAAGTAGTGGACCAAAAGCACGAACGCTGTTCGCATTTCCCTCCCTTCGAAAGTTCATCTCCTCTATGGAACGAAGATTTATCAACTAGAGCGGATGTTATTAGTATTCCAAATGTTTACGAGTCGAATACAGCCGTTAAAGCAAGGACATAGTAAATTAAGGTCACTGAGTGTTATTAACCAATTAGATAACGATTTATGTTACCAGTGGTCAAACATTTGGTGGAAACAGCTGAAAATCAATTTCGCCCATGTTACAAAGTGAAATAGGTCTCTTTGGGAAATAAATACAGCATACTTCGTTTGGCTGAATATAGATTTATTTTCTAGAAAACTGGTAATAACTGAATTCTGCTTTTGAAGCTCTAAATTTGTGGCGAATCTCGGGAGTGTCACGTCACAAATTGAAAAACCTTAGCCCTATAAAAATCCTTTTGAAATTTCAAGTCAGTTGGAACACTAGTTACAGCACAAGACAGTAGGGTGACGATGCCTTGGATTGACGAAGCTTGAATGCGTATTTTCAGTGCAGTGGCTTAAGAAACTTGAAACCATTATCAAAAACTTGAGGTTTTGAAGATAAAGAACTGGATTTGACTGAACAGAAAAATTACGAAAGGCTCTTGGCAGCTGACTGAAAACCAGCCTTGGAAACTGAAGGGAGAGGATGCTACCAGGAGAAAAATGTTATTTTCCTCAGAGTTAATTGACAATTTAAATTGGCTTCTCCCTCAAAGAGGCTCTTCGAGGCCAAGTTGGCTTAGGTAAAAGCCATCCAAGGAGTTGAACTCGGGGCAACCGATAACAAATATAGTGAGTAACAGGGTGAAGGAATTGAACGCAGAACCACAATCAAATGATCCAGAAAAAGAAATTTAAAACTATTCATTTGAAGTTTGATATACAATGATGTTCAGCAATGAGCTGTTCATTAATAACTATGATAAAAAATTTCCAAAACTAAATCTATCACCGCACAAGTAATGGCTATTCATAGAAAAATCACTCAAATAAAACCAAGTACTTGAACAATAGCAATTCATTTACTGCACTTCAGCTGGAGTACAAAATACTTCCTAATCGATTAAAATTACATTCCATAACTGTTTTTTTGTGTATTATCTTAAACACGCGCGTTTGCTTTGTGCCGATACTCTTTTACTGAACAGAATCATTCCCTATTAAATGTTTTTTCTTTACGACACTACCTATATCAAGGACTAATTAAGCTTATCGGATTGATGAAAAAAAAGCTGTACATGTAAATACAAATGTGATGTTTAAGCTGGGTCATTCTTTCTCCATTCAAGTTAAATTATCAGTGTAGCCTTCTTGGTTCAGCGCCATTCCACTGTTGGAAGATTCTCAAAACAAACCCTGATTCGAACTTGAAATCGATTGATCGCGCTGACGACAGCAAACGAGTCCCGCCCTATCATTTGACTACAAAGACTCTTATGTTGGGAAAATTTGTTTTTTTCTCGAGTCAGCAAAGGCTATATTGAAATCCCTTTCGGACACTTCTTAGTTTGCGTATGAGCACCAATAAACCAGACACATTCATTTTAATGAACTACTTAACTATTTTACATCTTTAAACGCACGCCTTGGTAAATGTTTGAAACATTTAATCTACGAAAACGCTGATACTCAATTCAGCAGAGTGTCTGATTGCATCAGAGGTTACAAAGCTGAAGTCATTAACGTGAGCCGCCGTGTAACAACATCTATAGATTATTGCTATAAAGCTCTTTACTCTTAAACAAAAGTTTTGATCGGCCGATCATTGTGCTACAACAAATCGCTTTTTGATATCGGTTTCTTTTCAAAATTCAGCATATAGAAAATTCGTAGAGATAGCAAGATTTGGCCTTATCTGAATTAATTATTAAACTACATTGCAGTGAAAGTTTACGCCGTAGAACGAACCTTACATATCACCTATTCGCGATCCAAGTCTAAGAATGCTAACGGAGTGAAATTTCCATTTTAACGACCAGGGTGTCGTTCTTTAGGAATCTTGGCTGTAATACCTCATAAATGGGAGCAAATCTTTCGAATCCACACCCAATGCTGTTCCAAATAGCTGTGGGTTTTCGGAATGCTGCCAGGTTTGGAGAGGCTGTCAGAACTTTGGTGATATCGTTGGGGGTTTCAGAACCACTTCTATCCAAGATTGACAACGTTATGACACCAGTGAAGGGCCATTGCAGTCGGTCATCATTCTCTCCTTGTATCATGTGGACGTAGATTGCAACATGGCTGCCCACTCCACTATTGACACCATTGGGATACATCATCATGCAGAAATTGTAACCATAAAGCCTGTTGCGGATTGAGGGGCTAAACTGAGCTACCATGGCTCCTGTGATGGCATCTGAGCGACGCTTTTCAAAACTCTGAATTTTCCAATGATATGTTCCAAAGCAGAATCGCCCTTCGAGCTGGCTCATCATGGCTTCATCAAAGCGACGCAACCTAGAAAGTAGACACAAGTCCAGGAGGTCGTTCATGGAATATGAAAGACGTTTTAGCATTTTAATGTTTAACGTCCCAAGACTTTTCTTTATGCTTATTTCGAATCAAAATTCGTCTCATAAAGATTACCAAATTCGTTTTTAGCGAGTTTCTCCGGTAGGACTTCAATCGTTGCACTTTCATAGTTCACACCAATTTTTTTGGATGTCTTTTTCAGTTAGCGTTAAACAGCCCTTTTATTTTAATTTTTCTTCCCTCGAAAATATTCCCCCTCGAGGTATTCAAGAGAAGTACCCAGAGGAGACTATTTTGTTGAGTACAGCAGAAAGGCCTGTTGAAGATAAAATTTTAGGAGGGTGTCTTTTTGATTAGATCTAAAACCGGTTTCGCGAAGACAATTTTTCTCCAACTTAATATGTGCTGCCTACATTCAGTCCGGAATCTCCGGAACTTCCCCCTCTCTTTCTCGAGGGAGCAGCCACCTCGTGGAAGAGGCCGTTTTTCCATTGCACTAGCAGTTTGCATGTTAATGAAAGATGGAGACTCAATAGCGATCTCCTTTCAGAATCAACTGCAAAGGCACTTGACCGAATCGAAATATTGCAACACCCCATTAAACTAAGAACAAAGAATAACGGGAGCAACATTCAGGATCAAAAAATCAGGTTACGAAAACAAGAATAAGGTTGGTACTATATTTGTGGCAATGAGCGAAGTGCTGCCTACGTGCAGACATTTTCATACCACAACTCCGTTCCCAGAGTGTCGCAGTAATGCTCTGTAGCATGCTCCTTCTGTTTAAGTTGAATGGCTCCACTTGGCAATCCTCTTCGACGGTCCTGCTGGTCAACATCAAGTCCCTCCTCAGTATCTGGAGCACTCATGCCACGCAAAGGGTAGTCTTCTGATCCCCGAAACCTCATCGAGAGACTCCTCAGAGTCGTTTCCTGGCCTGCATCTCGCACCAATCCCTCATAGGATCCATTCATCCCACTCGTCTGATAGCCACTTTCTAGTTGGTGGAGGATATTGTGTCCCTCAGTTTCTTCTCCCCTAACGGGAAGAAATGTCCAGCTTGTCCCTCCATACGCTCCTACTCCTTCCATCCGTTGCTGTGGCTCTTGTTCTTCTATTGAGAAACCTGGATCTTGGGTCTGTTGAAGAGAAGGGTTACTAAATTAAACATCCATGCTATGAAATTCTTTGTTAAGTTTGCTGAATACCTGGTATTTGATGGGCATGCTATATGGCCACGCATGGAAACTAATTTTATGTTGGAATGTTGATGATATCTAAAAGATAAGAGAATATGCAGCATACCTGTTGGTGTTGTAAAGGTTGATAATTGCCAACTGGATTAGCCTGTCCGTTCCTACTTTAAAATAAATAAATAAAATTAAATTCCTGATGGGTTGTCAGATCTTTACATTCTTATCATATGCTGTGGTTACACCGCGAAGAAATGTATCAGGATGAGCCCTTAGAGGTAGTGGCTTGCGTCCGAGCGAGAAGAAAAAACTGTAAATTTTTTTAAGGTTTGTCGGCTTTGCCGTATATCTGTGCTTTGGGTTTCATGTACTTGGAAGCCCTAAACTGATAGCAAATTGAAGACATTATTTGCTAGCTTTTGCGAGGTCAGAAGTTATAATTTAACAACAGGATGAAAGAGATATCTTTTTAAATGAATTTAGGTCCCCGCTGGGTTCTAAGTTTATCATCCGCGTAATGATGACGTCTGGCTTGTGTTTTGCAAGTCACGCAATCTGCGCAGGCACAATGATGCTTTAGTGATCGGAGGTAAGAGCGATAGATCATTCGACACACACTCTAGAAGCGTCATGTGACCTTGATGTTAAAACTTCAGTTCTCTAAAACTCTTCTCGATATTATGGTCTACAATATGGAAAAAACTAAGCGTTCGTGATCAAACCAGGCTCAGTTAGGGCTTGAGAATCTTTGTGTTAAGGTAAACACTCGCTCTCGATATGGAAATCGACCTAGGCCTGTTCAATGACTTTCTGGATGGAGACGCGTTAAAAGTTTCCCCCGACAGCAAATTGTTCCCCAGATGTTACTCTTGTGGGAAACAGCATCAACGAGCGTCCACTGAAGCACGTGCTAACAAGGGAGTTTAGTTTCGTTGAGCTAAATTGGAAAAGCGTTCTTCGCTTTCACCTCTTGTGTGGGACTCATTCTTCCATCTACAATGGATCAACTTTCTTTGAAAGGTCTGGTGAACACATTTTAGGTAAGTCTATCGATCTTACATATAAATAACAGCATTGTACTTGCTATTCACTTTTTAAATCGCGAATTTCAACTTTCGAAGGTCAGCTTGGCTAGATCTTAGGACTGAGAGATCGTTTATTTCGTCAGATTATTTCGAGGTGAATCATTTGTGTCGAGTGTAAACGAACTCGTCAAGGCAACGAAGCAAAGTAGATATAGATGTGTTCTATCATTAATAATAATTTGACAAAAGCTTCAACGTTTAGGTAAAATAACTCCTTCCTTAAAAATTTCTTAGAAGAAATGATAAGCACTGCAGCCTACTGGCTTTTAAATTTCCGGGTGTAATTACAGGAAGGGTTGATGCTATGATTAGACGTTTAGTATACGACCTTTGTAACTTTGGCTTTCTATAGAGCCATATCTTCTGTGTGTAAAAATACTTAGTAATGGAGGACTGACAAGGTTTGCGTTGGATTTTGACCTCTTAAAAAGTCGTAATATTTGTTCAAATCTATGATTGGTGCTGTGGTTAGTACGGGAAAACGAGCTTGCGTCTCTTAGAACTTTCATAATTCACTCTTAGCTAGCTATAATATACTCCCGCTGAGTCCTCTTGACAATCGTTCCTATTTTATTGGACAAGTGTAGCGAGATCTATGCGGTCAAGTTAACAACGTTCTCGGCTAAAATAAGTAAGCTGATTTGAATAAGACACGACCGCACATTTTCTTTCGAAGATCCAATTTTTCATTTCATGTCCATAACAGAGCAAAGTTAAATTTATTTAATAAAAGACCAGTTGTCAATTATCAATGATCTAAAAGGTTGCCTATGCCATTTGAATCAAGGTTCACCAGTTCTGAAAATTTCTTCATCAAGTTTACAATGTGTAGCCTGTGCTCCAAAATTGGATATTCTCGAATAAAAAACTAATTGGTAACACAGTTACTGGCTCGCTTTCTGCTTAATTCTTAATCTAAATTTCCTCTTGTCGATGTTCTCGTTATGACCTATGGAACTTCTTTTGTCAATATTGGCGATTCAAAATAGTTTCACGTTCAATCATATTATTCGCAAACGTTCTCTTGTTAACTCCTTCCTATCTATGAAATGGGACCTCTTGCGAGACCTCAGCATGGTATAGTGAAGTTGAGTTGATACTAAAAGTAAACCAAAGCAGTATTTTCAGTACCGTTTGAATTTCAGTTTGAGAGATTCCAGACACAAAGATTGACTCATAAAATATTAGTTCGCACTTGATCGAGTCAGACTTGAAACCTTTTAGCAAGGTATTTTATTTTAGTTTGTCGAATTTGGCTTTTACCGGTGGAGTGTACGGAAGTGATAGAAAATGCTAAATCTGTTTTCATTATCCTTTCAACATAGCTGTAATCCACTTGCACAATCTAGCTTTTCGATTTTTATCAGTTTCCCGTGATCTTTCATGTATTTATTTTTAGCGTCAGTTCATGGTAAAATCTATTTTAAGATTATGTGTTGATGACTCATCAACACATCACCTTAAAACAGATTTTACCATGCGAGTTGTAATCATACACTTACCAACACAAAAACAAGTGGAGGCTTGTGGAGGTTTAAACAAGTAGCCAATTGGAGTCCGCGGATTCGCGCACCACAAGATCATGTAATATACACCAAACAATTAAACGTTCGTATTTGTGAAAACTGCCGAGCCGAAGCGCTGTGAAAATTTCACATCAAAAGCCCGTTGGGTGAACACTTGTGACAACTTTCAGCAGCTAAATTTTACAATTTGGCTTGTTTTTGCAACTTACGCACCCAGCGCAGGCACGATGATGTTTCAGTGATCGAACGGGGAAGCGATAGATCATTCGATATTTGATCTATCGTTGAATGACTCAGTTCTCTAAAACTCTTCTCGACATTATGGTCTATAGTATGGAAAGGACTAAGCGTCCGTGATCAAACCAAGCTCAGTTTGGGCTTTAGAATCTTTGTATTAAGGTATATCTCGCTCCTGATAGTGAAATCGACCTAGGCCTGTTCAACAACATCCTGGATGAAGACGTGTTAAAAAGTTTCTCTTGAAGGCAAATTATTCCCTAGATGTTACTCCGTTAGGAAAGAGCAACAATGGCCATTAAAGTAAGCGCTAACAAGTGAGTTAAGTTTCGATAGGATAAATTAGACAACCGTTCTTCACTTTCACCTCTCATGTGGGACTCATTCTTCTATCTACAGTGGATCAAGTTTCTTTGGAAGGTTTGGTGAACAGATTTTAGATATGTGCATCGATCTTACAAATAAATACTCAGCATTGTACCTTTTTGAATCGCGCATGTTAACTTTCGAAGACCATCTTGGCTTGATCTCAGAACTGAGAGATCATTCACTTTGTCAAATTATTTCGTGGTGAATCATTTGAAACTTTGACAAAATCGTAACCGTTGAGGTAGATGCACATTTTCATTAGAAGAACCAATTTATCTCCCTCGTGTCGCTTGACCCCTGAGTGACTTCAATCCATGATTTTAACAGTCTTAACACGTTTTTGAACATCTTTTTGCCTTCAGCATCTCTTGTCAATATCAAAAGAGGAATTGGGTTTAATTTCCGGGAAAATATGCTCGTTATTGTGTGTTATCTCTTTAAAGCGTGCAAAGTTTTGAAACTTACGAACAGCTGCATATATAGTCACTTTAAGGTAGAACTCTCCTGTACGATCTACAGTGGATCAATCTTCTTTGGAAGGTCGGTAAACGGATTTTAGGTATGTGCATCCATCTTACATATAAATAATTAGCACTGTACCTTCTGGTCACTTTTTTAAATCGCCAATTTTAACTTTCAAGGGTCAGTTGGCTAGATCTCAGGACTGAGAGATCATTCACTTTGTCAGATTATTTCGAGGTGAATCATTTGTTAACGCAGTTATGAGTACGCCACGAAGCAAAGAAGATTTAGAGTTGTTCTATCGTTTATAAAACTTTGACAAAATCCTAAACGTTAAGGTAAAATAACTCCTTCGCGAAACATTTCTGAGGTGCTCAGGAAAAGAATTGATAAGCACTGCAGCCTATTAGCCTTCAAGTTTCCTGCTGTAATTACAGGGTTGATGCTATAATTGGAAGTTTAGTAAACTTCCATTGTAACTTTCCCTTTCTATCGAGGCCTATCTTGGTTGGAGTTTGACCTCTTAAAGATCGTGATAGTTGTTCAAATTTATGATTGATGCCATAGTTAGTACAGGAAAATGAGCTTGCGTTTCTTAAAACTTTCATAATTCTCTCTTAGCTAGCTACAAAATACTCTCACCGAGTCCTCTCGGAAATCGAATTTATTCTACTGAACAAGTGTAGCAAAATCTATGCGATCAAGTTGACAACGTTCTCGGTTAACAGAAGTAATTTCATTTGAATGAGACACAACCACATATCTTCTCTCGAAGAACTAATTTTTCACTTCATTTTCACGAAGGAGCCTGCTTTCATACGTCATAGTTAAGGATCAGAGATCTCGATTCAAATTTTCGAATACATGTGTAAAGCTTTACTGGAAAATATTTCATAAACCATGTTGGACGTGAAGTAATCTGAACTTAATCAAACGAAGCAGGCTTAAGTACGTTTAGTCGTTTATTTCGATATTGTAGACCTGTTGAATGTATTCAGTTCCATCATAAGTCTACCCACATCCTACATTATCAAATTGTTTCGAGTAACGTAGTTCTTATCAAGGTTGTTTTGAAATGTGTGCAACTTAGCGTACGGTGTCAGAGAATGAAACTTATCCTTGCTCATGCAGATCGAATCAGATTGACAGCTGTACACAAGATCGGTTCTAATTGGCTTACTCAAGAGGTGTGTTCGGAGGTGGGTCAAGGATGTGAATAAATTGAAGTGCTTTTTGGCTAAGCAAACTTTCTTGTGGCATGAATTATAATGAGAACATGTCCGTAGTTTTCGAAACATCAGTTATACCTGAATAAACGCAAATTTGAATTTACTTGATAAAAGACCAGTTGTCACAATTATCAGTGATCCAAAAGGTTGCTATCTGTTTTGAAACAAGGTTCACTGGTTTTGAAGTTTTCTCCATCAAGTTTACAACGTTCAGCCTGTACTCCAAAATTGGATATTGTCAAATAACAAACTATTG